GATTTCTGAAGAAAGTCCCTCATTCCTCCTAAACATTTCAAAACCTGAAGAGAATCAACAAAATGAAATAAAAACTTCCCTCACGATTGCCTAAATGATGTCCTCTGTTACTGTGTTTGTGTTGTATTTGAATTGAAGTAAGTGAGCATTGTAACGTTTAATCCTTGTATCCTTCAGCTGCTCATCTTCATTTGAAAAGGATCCATTCCAATGAAGTACGTCTCTGACTCCCTCTCCCCTCTCTTTCTGCCTCTCTCCCTTTCTTCATCTTTCTTCTCAATGTGATACGTGTAAGTCTTCTCTTTCAAACCATCCCTTCCTCGTGTTTCTCCGTGACAATGTTTGTATTATGTTAACTACATTTCAATTATATGAGTCATTACATTGTTTGTGTTTCAAATCTAGAAGCCAGATAAGTTGAGGTTGGTTAAGCATTCTGTAAAGACGCACATGTAAAGTTGAATTTCCTTTGAATCGTAGACATCACATTGAGCGATCAATATTGAATTTCTTACTACAGTTTACAGTAATTCCTTGTAATTCGTGTAAATAAATAACGCTGTTATTAAAACACCAGAGAAAATCAGCCACAAAATACATTTATAATAATAAGAAACATTGCTTACCAGATCAACATAATACCATACGATTGTCACTTATCACAAATGATTGTATAATTTATTATCATCTTCATCATCAGGTTCGTCCATGTGTCCTTCTATTCACGGATGACATCATAATCTCTAATTTCATCTCTCGTATCATGTGACAATGTTTACAATAGTAGCCAATCACATGACCTGAAGTCGTGATTCAAATATCATTCATCATACACTCTTCCCCAATGCAGACCATTATATCGGTAGCCGCGCTGGCTTAGGATACAAAATATCAAATATAGTCTGCCTCTAAGGCGCAATCACTCGTTCATTTGTATCAAGATTAACGTTCACATCTAGGAATTGAGAAGCTCATAGTTATAGGGATATTACACCAGCAATAAATCGAGCTCTTTTAGTTTTTGTTCTTTAGATACACTTGATTTTCCAATCGTCGACACGTAGGAAATCTAAAATGAGAGCAGAAATGACCGTTTTGTTTAAATCCGCTTCGTAATTGTATGCCTAGAGGCATACTTATGAATTCATGAGGCGAGCGAGGAGAGAGAGGTATACCCCTATCTGAACGACGCCACAGAACAGTGTGCTGATCTGTATGGGATAGCTATCTTCTATGCCGGGAGCGTGTCTTGGAAGATGGTGTAACCTAACAGACCATTCTTATCCAATCTATCTCACCATATCAATCTTGAGATACCATTCTGCTTTGTCTTTGCCAGAGAGGGTTTTTCAGCGTTGTTTCTTTCTCACAAATCTGCTCATGCAGCTCGAAATAAATCGTGTCTTTTCCTTAAGTCTGCACTGAAATAAGCATACACGCACAAAATATGAAATAAACAATATTTACAATTTTCAGTTTATATTTTTGGATTGAAACTTGTTAGTAATAAATAAATAAATAAATCTTTCAAATTCTAAAACCAAGAGAAGAACTTTGGACTGGATATTTAAAAAATGCTAAAAATTGAACAAAATGGAAGAAAATTTGCCTTGAGGTTGAACAGTAATCGTTATTTTGATACATGTGTGTGTTACAGTTTATTCCAGTTAATTCAGATATCGTGTTTAATGTAAATATCTTGTAGTTAAAAAATATGCTATCTCGCTAGATGACAAACATCGTAATTTTAATTTAATACGATGTGAGTAACAAATATTTCGTGATTAATATCGTTTCTTATAATTATTCTTATCCCATGATAAAAGAGATCGCCGCGACGATGTTAATTGTCAGCAACAATGCTTATTATGTAAAGATGTTTGAGTTTGATTTTAATGATAATTACATGAAGTTTTGTACAATTGTTGAACTGAAGGTTTGTACCGGTTCAAGTAAAGAAATACATGTATTGTGAAATACTAATAATGTACGAATATCACCCAAACTCTATTTGGCAATGAGAGAACATTGACTGAGTCCAGTAGTTTCCAACTGTGTTAACTCTTCGTCTACTCATATCATGTCGGTTCTACTGTGGTTTTTGGCTGATCTTACCTGATCTCATTTCTACTTTTTCTGTTTTTATTTCTGGGCTTACTGCATATGAGTGAGCAGTGGTGTATTTTGGTTGAGTGTTTACGCCCGGTATGATGTCGTTTATTGTCTGGTAAGCGACTCGATTTGGAGTGTACACTCCCATACAACCCATTCAATGAAAATAACGCTTTGGACCCACTCATCCGTTTGAACTGTTGTTAGTGTTTCTGTCCTTGTTATGATGCCGTGAATAAATCATATCTGAATACATCCCCCCCCCCCTCTCTCTCTCTCTCTCTCTCTCTCTATGCTACATGTACATGTTGAATGACATGCTGAGTTATGTATTATTCCAGGATTGTTGCTGTCCTGAATTTTAATTTTGCACAATGTCCTTGTTACACTTTTAGAATGTATACGTGTATAACTAAGTCTTTACAAGGTATCAAATGCTAAGTCACCGTGTATGCTAGTATACTATAATAAAAATGGTGTGAACCTACATCATTAAAGCGAAAACTCTCGATTATTTGTTGATCCAACATGCATGTAGGGCACCAACCGAAAAGTGTCTTTGGCAATAGGGGCGTTACGAACTGTTTCTACAAAAATTATTTGTCTTACATTTTATACTGAATATTATACCAGATATTTCTTTCGTTTATGGAAAAGAATCAGGGTTAACACGTTATTAGCCGATTTTGTAATGCAGACCGGGCCTTGGAAGGTGGTGGGTGTTAAGTGCGCATACCAGTGGATGAAATGATGTAGAAATGATAACATCTTTGGTGTTTGTTAACACCATTAAGGGCATCATCATAGCGGAGGAGGGGAACCCGTGTGGGGTGCAGCTTATAAAACGGAGGAGTTAGGTCGGTGTTTTTCTCAAAAGCGGTTGGAGTGAGGGTGTTGATGTTTCGCCCTTGTATGGTGGGCGTGCGTAGTGGTAGTCAGATACTGCCATAATAAACCTCTATTTCACCTTTTCTTTATTCAAAAAGTGTGTAAGCTCTGCTATGAATAAACACGTTTAGAAGTTAAGTTGTCAGTCTTACTAATGCATGGCACTGGCATAACATGCAGAGGGAGAGATAAAAGAAGAAGAAACATGTAAAGAGGAAGGAATTATGGAAGGTAGAAGGAAATGCAACTTTCCAGTAACGCAACTACCCACAGATCATTCTAAGGTCAATTATGTCATATTCAAATAGTATGATTTTCTCGCTGTTTTCGATGTAGTAAATCTCCTTCGAACTGAAGGAAACACAGTAGACCTAAAATAAGACATACTGTAGATGTAGACTGTTAATGAATGAATGAATGAAATGTAAGTGCAATGAACTTCTGGTGTTGGTATTTCCCCATAAAACAAAAGAAAATGACAGTGAACGAAGCCGAACGTCAGAGGTTAATCATATAAATGTTCTTGAAAATCCTTGCTTTGAATGATTTGAAATCAAGTGACATATTTATGATTTTTCCGTCAGATCGCCTCTCTTGAATCGACCTTCTTTACAGTGATACAATCATGTCATCCATTTTACAAACAATTTAAACCAAATCAGGTACCCATTTATATTGATATTGGTTCAATACACTTCTTATAGCTGCCTACCAGCAGGTAAAACAAACAGATACATGCACCCTCTCGACCCTGACGCCATTTTGAATAAAGCATGAATCCAGAAGCATGTGAGGATAAATAATGACCAAATCCCTTTAAATCTAGAGGGATTTGGGGGCAAAGTAGCGGTCACGTGACATCATAAGTTGATTTCTATGTTTCGGCGATGCTTTGAGGGAAGTCGTTCGAGTCAGGCTTCGTGACTGTGAGATTCAGTAGTAAAACAATGAAAGTGCATCGCCATACCTCTCACTTTAGATGTGACAGCCTCACTATTTTCTATCAAAAAGTGATCAAACTTGTTCCGAAGTCTTAGCATGTTATATCGTAGTCGTCGACCATGCATGTATCTTGTATTCATGTGCTATGCATTGGCTGTTATCATCGTCATTGTTTCTTGAACAACCGCATTTTGAAGTCGTGTTGTGGAAATGACGAAAAATTATCACACGATCGAACACAACTTTACAAAGGTGAAAGTCTACCATATTACAAATAGAAAGTGTAAACTAACTTTATAGTAATGAGCAAATAAAAGTTGTGAATTTGAGCTAGTAGCCTCGACCAAACTATATCTCGTACAGTACATGTAGTTCCATAAATGAATATAATTGTTGTGCTTTCATAATTTAGTTTCCCCCTAAAATTATACAGGCTCGTGGGGGTTCCAAACAACCCATTTAATGCGAAATTAACATTTGGAAACATCTTTTAACCAGTTTCTCTCGAAATGTTCTTTCATAGCCAGAGCTCAATATTACCTTTAAAATCACATTGATGCTTTTCTCTTAACAAATCAGTATTTGTTGATGTCGAGTGGAGGGTGTTAATTAGCGGGGTGTGAGAATGTTTGTAGTTGATGAATGATGATATCTTCATGAGATTAAAGGCTCCGATAGCCATGTAAATACGCACCATAGCATGGGGTCAAGCATGAGAGCGGACCACGGCTCACCGGCTGTTACCATGGTAATTGTTTGGCGTACTGCTGAGTTTGTAGGTCAAGACTAAAAATGGCGGGGAAAGACAGCAAGGGTTACAAATATTGGTAATCAAAACGAATAATGAAAAGTGCGTTGTATTTGTTAATATAGTGGCACTGATTTTCAAGTAGACTAAATAGTAAAATAGGTTTAACAATAAGTTATATCAATTTCATTTGTCAAACAGTCACTTTTACTTTGAAACACAAGGATAACAGGATAGGTGATTAAAAAGTAAGATCCTTCTATAATGTACCATGTCGTTTAACCAATGGATTTGTTTCTTCTTGTTACAGACGATACGGGACAAAGTGCGCAGGATGTCTTCAAGGAATCTTACCTAGTGATCTGGTGCGGAGAGCTCGTAGTAAAGTATTCCATCTCAACTGCTTCACATGTATGGTATGTCGAAAGCAACTCTCTACGGGCGAAGAGCTTTACGTGGTCGATGAAAATCAGTTCATCTGTAAAGAAGACTACCTCACAAAGTGCCAACGTAAGTCCTTTAAACCCCATTACAACCTAAACTCCCTTTAAAGGTACTATTTCTCCTATACGGGCTAACAGTAGTGGTTGGATTGTGCGTACAAACACCCGTTTAAAAATGCGTGAGAAAAAGCATCCTGAAAAGTTCAGGCATATATTGTTTTGAATGTTGAAATCGAAAGATGGATCTGTAATATATTAATGTATTACCTTCAATAATATCACCGTGGTTTGTTCAAATATTTATTCGTAAAATTCATGGATTGGATAATTTGATTGACTTACAAGGGCGTGTGCCATTATATATTCAAATAATCTGCAAAACAACCGTTCTTGGTGTTTCATAAAATCCATGTTTTAACGCGTTTGCCATGGTTTTGATAGAGAGGGTTGCCTCAACGTAGTTGCATTCAACGGGTTTATCAACGCTCAAGTACTGCATACATTGACTTGCTGTACAACGTACGGTCTTTAAAATGCCGATTTATCAATAGATTTGATTCGTCTGTATAGACCTGAGTTTGGGAGATAATTATGGGCATGTTCTTTGAAAATTATACGTATAGAAATCCTGTCAGTAGATCGAGTACCCTACAACACGAGGGTTTGAATTCCATCGATACAATTCACAAACAAATTGTTGTTTATCATCCAACTGTGTACACGAGGGAAACAAACAACTCAAATCAAGAATTGGCGAAGGTGTCGCTTTTATTCATACCTATCGATCGCTATCAGCGCTCGTACAGTTGGCATAAAAGCGAAACTGTTGCAATGCTTCCCCTTTCTCTATCTCTCTATCTCACCTTAGTGATGGAGACCAACAAATACACAGGTTCAAGGGCGGTCGTGCACAAAATGCACTTTGGAGTCAGAAAATATAGGGGAGAAATGGGTTTCTATGAGAGAGAGAGAGAGAGAGAGAACGATACAAAAGTCGGGACGTGCAACACTCGTCCTATGTGTATTTGCTTTTTCTTAGTTTTCCCCGTTTCATAGAGGGAGAGAGAGAACGAATGGAGACAAAGTGAAAACACGGAACGAGAAGAGAGAACAGGTGGGCTGTGGTCAAACATGGGTCATTGCTTTCTTACCGAAAAACAAGGACAGTTTCATGTCAGTCCCACATGTTGCAAAATATACTGGCAGTTGTACCAGCACACCAATACAAAATATGAATCTTACAATGAGAGAATCGATAAAAATGATTTACTGCTAGAAATCATGCATGCAGTTCGAAACTTCTACCATCTTATCGACCTTGATTCTATTGACTGGAAGTGATTGCTTTTTAAATATGGAGTTTGAAAACTGCATAATGTGCCGGAACATATCTGTTTACGTTGCCAAAGAATTGAATATAATAAAGTAAAAATACCGCCAAGGCCGACGCAGAAAGATTTAAAATAACCAGGAGTAAACCACGCCATTAATTTTTCAGTGAGGCTTGAAATGGAACGAGAATTATTTAAAGATTGTTCTTGTCTTTTAAAGTCAAGGTGACTTGTAATTTCATCACCGTAAACGACAACCAAGACTGCCACCCCCTTTTTGATTTCTTATTATTTATTGCTTGTGCTGAAATCGTCTCATACGCATATTGAATAGGCGCCCAAGGTTATAAGGGTGATAGTTACAAGCATCGATTTTGGGAGGGGCACGGATGAAATGGGCCGTATACGGAGAGCCATATTGGCGTAGCCGCTTTAAGATACGGAACATGGGGCACCGTTTAACAATGGGGTTGTTTTTATGAGAGAAATTTGGTTTGGGTAATGTTTAGATGTACAAGATAAGAATCATGTAAACTAGGAGAAGTATATCATTTTGGTCTTAGATGGATTCAAAATGTGTCCTTTAGCTTTTGATATAAGAAAATTACTCAATAATTTGAGTTATGGGTTTTTTTTAATTTGAATTTCTCTGAAAAAATTGTGTCTGGAAAAGGGGCTTCACGTTGTGTGTACTTGATTTTGAGTGACAGGAATAGAGAGAGAGAGAAACAAGGAAGAGAACCCTAATTTTCGTTTATTTTGTCTGTTATAATTGTCTCAAGCCAATGAGCAGCTATTATCATATTTTTCTATCTTGTGTGAGATCGGCAAAAAATATTAGTGGAAAATTGGCGAGGTACACACAAGTGTGTGTTAGATCTACCCTCTAATTGTATAGCACTCACTCAGATCACCACGCCATGCATGCAAACCCGTGCACAATGGTTATTCAATGGACCACGTCAACCCAGGTCAGGAGATGATAGAAGAGAAATTTGTAACATTCATCAAAACAATGATGTCTGATGGAAAAGTGAGGAAACGACAGAAAGAAAAGCCAAAAGGATTGTCGATTTAAAGCGCAAGTGACAGTGTAGCGCACACTGCTCATCTATCAACGATTTACGCCATGATTGTCGCGAGCATTGGTCGGGATTGTCCGCTTACTAAAATGTGAATGTGTCGGCTAGCTTCAGACCCATCCGAGGCTGACATGAATTCGTGTTTTCGAAAGGAGTTTGAATGGCAAGAAAGCTCGATACATTTGTCATGATTTCTACGTCTGTGCAGGAAGTCAAAACCGACTTGTCACAAAAGTACACTCGCCGCAGACCAGGGTTATGTTGACATGCATTCCGATCCGATTGCGTACTTGCATAAAAAATGTATTTTTTTCGATTGTCAAAAGTCAAACTTTTTCCTGCTTATTTAGGTGTTCAGTATTTCTCCAACACATTTCATATTCGTCGTAATATTGAACAGATTCTACCCACTCACATGCATGTATGATGTCTGTCTATTCAGCTCCATGCTTCAATCTGCAGCCAATGTAGAGACCGTGTAAAACCTACCAATCAGCAAGTTAGAAAAGAGCTCTAAAATTGTCATAATTATTAAGCTATTTTTCTCTCCCTTCTTTCTGTTTGTCATTTAAGTATCCTTAACTCATGAACCGATACTTTCATTCTTTATTAATCTTTGTGTTATTTGCCGACCATGCATTGCGTTTTAGTAAGCATTCAGGAGCATAACGTGTGGTGTTTTTTTGCGTGGTTTTAGGATGCCGCCCACCCTGAGAGGGAAGCCGATAGAGGGTGTTGTGTACTTTTGATCCCCCGTCCTCTGCCCCAATGTCAATAGTAACATACACGATTAGTCAATATTAAGTCCTTTTCCACACAAAATATTCACAAAATAATCTTGGAAACGAGGTTGAATATAATATATAAATGGAGAGAATGGTTTATATTTAAGCTGGTCTTTCTGAGCTTTCTTGTGCAGTCGTGACATTGTGCTCAATAAGTATTTGTTTAGTTTCACTGTTTAAACTCGACCGTAACACAACTCGGATAGTATCGCTAGACAGAGTCGCCCCTTCCGACAAACAAGGAGTGATACCAGAGGGACCTATTGTGTTCCGCCAAGGGTTGTTTCTTCATATTGGTGGACAGAGGTTCGCTTCCTGACATCTTTTCTATTGTCATTGTCAGGTACTTTACGCGGATAGGTTAAAGTACATTTAGACGTGTAAACTACTGCAGAAAGCTAAAAGTTGTTTATCTATATGTCTATTAGAAGGGTTGCTTCCACGAGTTCAAGAAAGGGCGGGGAGAGTGGATAGAAGAAGGTTTATTAAGGAGTCTTGGGGCTAATGCGCGGCGCCATGTTTAATCACTATTATAAGTACTTTATCAGTCTGTTTAATAAACATGTTTCAATGCGCGTTTTTTTTTATAAACGATGCAAGAAAAGTTTAAATTTTATTACGCCGAGATATTATAAGAGAGGGAATAGCCTGTAACCAATGGATAGGAATGCAAACGGGGGATATTGGAAGGTAGATGGAGGGCATGTGAGAAGTAGGAGGAGGAGGAGGAGGAGAAGGAGGAGGAGGAGGAGGAGGAGTAGAATAAGGAGGAGTTTGGTTTGTTAAGGGGGGCAGAAGTTCAGGGCTATTGATGTCCCGTTGACAGTGTTGTAGAGTGTTTGGCCTAGCACGTTGTCCAAACATCGGTACGCTACATCAAACGGCTGCCGGGGCTCCTCCTGTGATGCTCGGTGCGTCTCCGCTTCATGATACGGAGCTTGGGCTCGCTCGCTCGCTCGCCGCTACAGCGGGGTCGCCCGCAAACATACACTCAAATCAAAAAGGGAAACGGGGTAGCCTGTACTATTTAGCTATTCATATCACATCCATTTCAAAGAAGCTTTCTTTTGATATAGATTTTTTTGCTGAAAGATGGTAGTATACCTATTACGAATTTTCATTTGGTGTTATAGGCTTTGCACTATTGTAGTCACTCTGTTATTGTCATATACTTTATTTATTGAATATAACAAGTTAAAGCACGTAAAATAACTCCATTCATACCTAGACTACTGCCTGTATACACAGGACAAAACATGGCAAAACAATAATGCACATAATTATACTTTTACAAAACAAACAGGATGAACATACGATGGCAAAAAATACAACAAACATGTCACGTGAAAAAGCTACGTAAGTTTTGGAACATTAGTTCGAATATCCTGTACTATAACATAATAAATATTGACTATACAGTCATCATGTAAATATACATTTCAAGTAATAATGAAACTCTACACAATTACTCGATTTATCTTCACGATCTTACTTTTTTGCGAAGGACACAGAAATGTGAACATGTTGATTTTTAGATTGCGTATTTCGTGTTTTTTAAATGGCTTTTCGAGTTTTAAGTTCCTCGGAAATGCCGTCAATTTATTTACACATTGAGCATTACTAATTAAGAGCACCATCTGGATTTACAGAGCACAAAGCAGCCCTTGTACAAATATGGTCTTTTCACAAAATTCACGTCTGATCAAATAGATGATAAATTATCGAACAATTATATAACATATAGGTTTACACATTATAGGTTGTACTCATGCCTGTAATCTATCCCACTCTCTTTCTTGAACTGTTCCATTTTTATTATTTTTTTCTGTCGCTTTGAATCCATAACTTATTTTCATAAATTCATCGGTT